ATAAAATGCTCCATAGCTCGACCATATTAAGGCTATATTTTATGCATGTATAATATTTATTTAGATGCATCGAACCAATTTAAACCCCACATGTGCGAACCGGTACATCTCGGGACGCATGAAGAATTAGCGGCACATCTGACTAAATATATATGAAAAATATCTGAATTTTGCAAAATTAAAATATGGCATGTCATAGACTGCATACAACCGTAGACAAAGAATAGTCATAGAAACATAGAAGGACTCAAAGAAAAACACAGTTATGAACGTACTAGTATACACCAGTGAATACTCAATTGGACTCGAGTGGATTTTTGCGTTTTGTTAGTGTGTCGTTCAAAATTTCGCGGTACACTGGTTGTGAATCACTGATCTATACTGTCACCTATACATGTCCACTACATATTTGCACGAATTTAATTACGGATTTAATAATTTCCACATATAATTGGCGGGGCGCCAATAATGCCGGGGGGTTGGATGGCTTAGTGGTTAGCACGTGCGCGCTGTATCATTCAGTCTGTCATTGAGTCAACTGACGTGGTTTCGAATCCCCGGTTGTACGTGACAAGGAGTAGGGTCGCCTGTCCAACCTCGTGGGTTTTCTCCGGGTCTTCCGGTTTCCTCCCACTGCTAAAGACCCCTACGCGCAAGCGAATTATGGAAATAAAATTGAACCATATGTTAGTCCCGAAATGACCTAGTTTGTGTCGAGTGGACGTTAAACCCCATTTCTCTCTCTGTCTCTGTCTCTCTCTCTCTCCAATAATGCCGAGTGAGATTGGTTAAGCACCCACGAATGAATTTGGGGCCCAAAACGGCGTGATAATCTTCAAAATTCAAACAAGTCGTCCTCTAACCCGATTATGTTTTTCTCATAAATTATTGTAGGTACGTTAAAGTTACAATTTCATATTTTCTAAGAAAGTCAAAACATAATTATTTCTATGTCTTTTGCTTAATAGGTTGTCAACTCAATATTATACGATCATAGGTGTCATTCTCACACTTTAAACTCATTTACACCGGAAATAATAACACAATTACCTCAAAATTACCCCCCTTGTTTTCTATTCTCCACCATGGAGTAGCTAACTTCAAACGTTTGAATTTGTCGATGAAAATGATATTTTTGCCAATTTCTCAACTGGCAATTGTGAATTATAGGATTAATAGGATTATTCTTTAACAAGGTAGGACTGTTTATAGATACCATCTATTTTAGGCTTTATTTTAATAAATTTTTAAAATATAACTTAAAAATATGAAATTGCAACTTTAAAGTCCTATTCCTTCCTTCAAATTTTTATAATGTTCATATCAAAATATCATAATACGCCAATATCGCAAATTCAGACTCAAAATTGAAATTTTCCGTCATTTTCAGGTGCAAAAACTATTTTCCAAAATTTTCTTTGGAATAGTCAATCACTTAAAAATAAACTACAAGCTGTTCAAAATAACGTTCTTAGATTTGTATGAGCTGTGGCGTAGAGATCATGTTTCATATTTAGATATTAATATACTAAATGTTGAAAACCTAGTTAAACAGTTACAACTAAACCACGTACAAAAGATTTTTTTATAATAGGCCCTAATTGTCTATCATACCTTAAATGAAAATTCAAATGTGTTAGAGATACTCATCAATACGGCACAAGATCTAGTTTATTCAATTTTGCGCGGGTAGAGATCAGTTCGCATCATTTTATTTAAATACCGGTATAAGTATCTGGAACGATTTACCGAATGATATTAAATCTTTAGATTCACTACACAGCTTTATACTCTAGTAGCTCATGGTAGTTTTATATGTGCTTATATGTCCAGAGCTAAACTCTTTAAAAATCATCTAATTGATGGTCATTGAACATTTTTTGGTTGGTGTCACATTTGTCACCGGGGCCGAAATACGTGAAAATGCCACAGGGTTCAATCAGTTTTGGTTGACTCACCTGACACCGACGTGTTTGTCAACCTTATTTTTCACTTCCATAAAACCTGGCAACTACAAAAGCTGTTTGTAAAGCTTTGTAGCCGGAAAAACAAGAAAACGGTACCAGTCCATCTATTAGTTGATCAACTGGATAACAGTTTGCTGTCGTGTCTTCCAGCTATTCATGCACTCAGCGGGTGTTATAGTACCAGCAAGGTGGGTCCAAAACTTTCTGGCAATAAAGCATCTATGGACCTCTCCCTACTGGAAGGGTTTGGCGTAGATAACTTGTCACCAGAGATGATAACTAAATCTGAAGAATTCCTTGTGTCTGGATTAACGAAAACCGACTGTTCCACATTCAATGAGTATCGGTGGGAGCAGTACCACAACTCCAAGAAAGAGCTTGACTTCAACCATCTTGTGTGCTGTTCGTCAATAATACATCAAGCGGGCATATCTGCAGTGTAAGATGTGGTTACAAGCTCCAACTCCTGCAGTCACCAAACCAGATCCACGCCAGTATGGTTATAGAGAATCAGATGCCGGAATTACACCTGTTATTCTGCCAGTACCATGCAGAGCTGATGACCTACCGCCCCCATGCAAATGCCCAACATCATGTATGAGTACCAAGACGTGCACTTGCAGAGGAGCAAACATAAACTGTGTTATGTTTTGTGGATGTAGTAAAAAGGAAAAGTGTAGAAATCCACATAATTAATACGGACAATATGTGAAATTACAACAGGAAATATAACAAAGGGTCAATAGTATAATAATAAATCAGTTTTTTGCAAATATTTTAACAACCATTGACTTTTTAACATATAAATGTATTACAGACCCCCTATAATGTGACCATTTCAAAGATTTTGAGTGGTCACACAACCTTCTAGGTCAACCGGTTCTAGAGATACAGTTATTGCGGGGGGTAGTGCTGCGCTTAAAAAGGGCAGTTCCACGCATTTCGGCCCCGGTGACAAATGTGTCACCAATCAAAAAATGTTCAATGACCTTCAAATAGATGATTTTTGAAGAGTTTAGCTCTGGACATATAAGTGCATACAAAACTACCATGAGCTACTCTAGTATGATGTATAACATCTAGACATAAATATATTTAATTATTTGTGATACATTACATTGATTGGCATATTTATTAAGTTTTGTCTCCTAATCATGACCTGACGCGACCTTGACAACTTTGGACCCCATTGGAAAGAAGCACCGGCTGTTATATACGTCAGGCTTTATGGGCTAAATAAAGGTCTCCTCATGACACCATACCTATCATACTTCTCTATTCCCGTCTTATTTCACACCCCAATCACACAATGCAGCACATAGTTCTAATTTCATATACATATCTATATTTATTGTTGTCACTTTCCCAATCATACGATTTCTCATAGTTCTTATTTTGAAAAATGAACTGCCGGAAATACTGTCTGACACTATTCAGGCACTGATTGTCGAGATAAATAGAGCTGATCAGATACCGTCTGTCTTCTGATCACTAGTTTATCCGACCCCAGAGAGGAAAGTGTCAAATGAACGGACTTGCAAACCTCAACGAAGCCCCCGAAAATTTGAAAAGTAGACTGCCTGAAATGCAGTCTGGCAGTATTTCAGGCACTGATCGTCGAGATAAATAGAGCTTACCAGATAGCGCCTGTCGCCAAATCACTAGTTTATCCGACCAGAGAGGAAAGTGTCAAACGGACGGAGTGAGTGAATCAAAGTGAATGAATATTTTCGCCACGATATTTTGTGAAATAGACTACTGGAAATGCAGCCGGGCAGTATTTCAGAAATAGAGCTGACCAGATACTGTTCGTCGCCAAATCACCAGCTTCCGAACAGAGAGGGAAATGTTAAACGAACGGAGTGAGTGTATCAAGTGAATGCATATTCTCGTCGCTTTGAACCTATAGGCCCAAAAACTTTGAGGATCGTAAAAAGCACTTCTCAAGTGATTCACGTGTTATTGTTTATAGTAGGTTTACAGCAGGATGGGCTTGGTAAGAAATCACTCAGACTCTACAACATGCAAGTCTATGACTGAGTGGGGATGTGGGATTTAATCACCGTAGAAGGTATTGATTACCGAAACGTATCACAAGTAATTTTTTTTTTATTTTCCAAAATTATTGTGGGGGGGGGGGGCAAACAGAGGTCAGACCAGATTTGCCCCTCCCCCTTGACGCCGCCACTGTAGGTATCTATTTGGTATCCCGTTCTAGCAGTGGTGCTATTCTATTTTACTACACCATCAATACTAATAGTGAGTATTTATTGGTATCTCGTTCTGCAATAGCGTTGTTCTGTGTTACTTCGTCATCAAGCCAAATCTAGTAGGTATCTATTTAGCTAGTTCTACCAATGACGATTTTCTGTTTTACTACATCATCAAAACTAATATATATTGATATCTATTAAGGTCAAAGGTAAATCGTATAAAGCTATATTATATAGTAAATTCCATTGGTTGTATGCAGTGGGCTTGATATAAACACAAATTTGAGTTCGTTTCGTTTTGAAAGTCTCTTATAACGTTATACTTTCAAAGCCCCGTGTATACACTGTAATATTTCAAATAACATTCCTTGAAGTATATAAAAATTAAACGTATTTTCTTTTAAGGTTTATATTTACCGACAAATTTTTTGACAAAGGGGACAAAGGTGAACCTATTTATGATTAGTCATTAATTATTGTACTTTGTACTCACAGAAATAACCCCACCTCAGCTTGACACATTATTGACTGATGTAACCTTCCAGTGCTTGCTATAATCCACGCCACACGGTTTTGGATTATAGATTTTATCCCCCCTACCCCCACCCCGCCACAAAGAATGCTATTCTGTCACACTAATACTAAAGTCCTAAATGGGTATACGCTTAGATTTAACGTAATGCCTATATTAAAAAATAAAACATAGAGCTGAAATTGACGCAGGGTGCCACATAGCCTTGAAGATAAATGCGTATGCAGACACACGGGCCATTGCATTGTGCAATCTAGACTTTTCGCTTTGTCATACCCAGATAGAAATGTCAATATGTAATGTGACTATTCACCGGGTACAGACATATAGCTATACAGACGTCGTGTGTATAAATACAACGTGCGTATATACTGGCTCACTGTATCTTAGACTTCATTCAATAGAGGTAGGTGTTTACTATATCACATACTTTATATACTATATCTATGTTATACGTATGTCATTATCAAATGCATTGCCTGGATTCATTGACCAACCTTATAACAGCACACTTTAATTTAAAAATTTTCCGGAGCAGTATGATAGTCATTTAATTCTTGTACCCAGATTCGGATCAAGGCTCTGATGGGCCCTAGGCAGCTCGACCAAATGGGCCCTTTGTAGAACTGGTTTGCCGTAGTAAAACTAAGACCGCTGTAAGAGAAACGAAATTTCCGAGGATATTTAATTTAACAAGTAATACTTATAGATTTCTGTACTTCTTTGACAATTTCTTTATTCACACGTTCGCCGAATAGTTCGATAAACTCCTCAAATTAACATAGATACACTACCGCGCCCCTTATTACCAAACTTTTCTATGTGCGCGGCTAGAAAAGGATCGTATTCTGACAATAGATCCGTAAGTCCGGCGAAATTGCCGTTGTCATCCTCTCCAAACACCTCGTGGCTGTGGCCACGGAATGGCGACAACCGACAGCGTACAACCGACACCACGCGCTTTAAGACTTCACGCCAATAGGCGTTTGTGGATTCTATTTCTTGAACTATTAAAGTATCTATTCGGCCTTCTTCCTGTTGTCGTACTACATACTTTCCGTGCGCCTCTAGATGGTCGTCACTGACGTCATGAGTCTCTATCATGGTTAACGCATTTTTTCAGTCGTCGATACCTTGGGTGCCCAACGACGATCGACTGTTACCAAACAACTTGCAAATAGAGCAGTATAATCTGCTGTCAGCTCCATCTCCATGCCCAGAAAGAAAGTAGCACAACCATTCTCGTTCTACCTTTTCACCATTGACGAGTTTCCGATAGAAAAATTCCATTGTTATTTTACGTCCATACTTTTGTTTTCCTACTATCTTCTTAGAAGTGGTAACCGGATACCAGGCTAATACAAGGCGAGCGAGTGACCAATCTCCCAGTTGGAGTGATCGATCACACTAAAGCTCATCTCGAGCACTATGATGTCACTAACCGTGTGGACCCTCTGCCCTCATAGTGAACGACCGACACAACCGAGTGAGGTTCGTCGGAAGCGTAGTCCAGTGAATTTAATAATGTAAAACATCAAATTTGAAAAGGTTGTCAAAAATTTTATGGGCCCTAGGCAGCTGCCTACACTGCCTATGGGGTAATCCGCCTCTGCTTGTACCCCGTCTACCGAGTTGTAATTGGGCACTGGGCTTGATATGATAGTGCACAGATTGGACCAGATAACTATACAAAAGAAATTTAACCGGTGACATTTATTTGACCTATTTGCTTAATACATAACAGTAAGCCGGTTAATGGCACACTGGGGCATGCTGGTGTATCTATATTATTGGCGTTCAAAGGAAGGGGGGGGGCGAAGATGGCGACGGCCCCAGACATCCATATCTGGGGCATACAATCAAAGAGGGTTTTTTTTAAAAAAAAATTATGAGATCATCGCTGTTTAACATACATTATGCAAGAGCTAAATATGCAGGTCTTTCTTTAGGCCTGAAATCTTATCTAAATTATTAATTAGACATTAATTAACTTATCCGGACCATAATAAACTCTCGATGTCAACGCTGGCCTGTGATGTTTACTGGATTAGAATCCCAATTGCTGCTCCACTTTCATTCTTGATTTAATCATGAAATGGATAATCGAGACTATGTTTTTTTTATCGTACCGACTTTAGTAATGATGATCGAGGCTAGGACGAAAATTCAATCGCTAAAATCTCGATTCAGAGTGGATCAGTTTGACTGTAATATTCAGCAAATTCCTTTTACATTATCTAGGTTTTAACAATTATAGTGAGAACTGTCAGCTCTTTATCTAATCTCCCTTAATGTATCTTTAAATTTGTTATGAGAGAGAGAGAGAGAGAGAGAGGGGTGGGTTTAACGTCCACTCGACACAAACTAGGTCATTTCATTTTGTCTTATATATTAGATATCAGAAGCCCATCTTTTCACGGTAAGGGCAAGATAATAAAATGACCAATAATTCGTGTTTGCAATGTTAAAAACTGTGGATGATATTGAGGTAAAGACTTGGCTCCCTTAATAATTATATATTTTTCATCTCACCGTTTTGAGTACTAGGTTCTATACTTAGATCTTGAGGGTATGCAAATCAAAGGACTGTCCCCGGATATAACCAAACCTCTACACGACACTGATCTATATAGAAATATATTTGGGGTTAAAGAAAGGGCAATATATTCACTCTGTATTATTTGCATATAAATGTTATTAATAACCCTAGAATTAGAGTACCTGTCAAAAGGTGAAACAACTAAATCTAAAGCTGATTGTTTCCTATGAAGTGCCAAGGTATTAGTGTTTACAAGACCTATAGAAAAATATTTTCATAAGTGCTATCATGTATGAAATCCCAAACCCTCTCTTCTTAGAAAGTGTAATCGGGCCTTTTCTTAAAATAAAAATCAGTCAGATTAATATTGTGCCGACATTTCCTTCCCTTTAGATTTTGTTAAATAAAGTTTTGTTGAACACCAAAATAAAAAATATTATTTTTTTGTTACCTCTTCCACTCATGGTTTCTTCCCACGGACGGAATAGAATAGGGAATGTGTGGTGGTCCTTGATCGCTAACCTAGAGGTCTCGTGTTCAATTCGGGGATTGGCCGAGAGAGTTCATCGTGACTTTCCGGCGTCGTCGCCTGTCAGCGGTGCAGGACAGGTGTTCTGACAAGACACAATCTAATCTATAGTCATTCGGGTTGTACGAAAAACAGAGGTCCGCTTGTACACATTGACAGTCGGAATTCGATAGAAGAGTACGCCGTAGCGCCGCTGTCCGGGCGAAATTTATCTCACAGCACACTATATGAGGCACATTTCTTGTCAAAAACTAGATGAATGTTTGCTTGAAAGTTGAAATAAGTTAGATACGGAATTGTTTCAATTGAAACTTTTATGCATTTTATGGTGAATCCTGTATCTAAAGGCTAATCTAATATAATCTAGTCCGTACAAGATGGCGATGTGCACAGATGCTTACACGATTAGACTTGTTTGAATATTGTATCTACAAAGTGCTTCATATTGATAAGTGGGTGGATGAACAAAAATTTAAAATGTCGTCTCTATTTCCAGGTGTCGACCGTGTATAACGTTACTATATAAGTTAGTAAACTTAACCAGAACAACCAACAGATTTCATATAACATTACGTCAATTGTCCAACCTATCCAAAATGTCTGGTCCAGGGCCTATGGTAACATTTAACAACGGAAACAAGTTTCCAATTATTGGACTTGGATCTTGGCAGGTAAGAATTAAGGGACTGTCTCGAGAATAAGGTATTTTGTATTTTGTAATTCCGAAATGGCGACCTGAATTCAAATCCTACAGCAATGACAGCAAAGACACCACAATTTCAGTAATAAATCTTGTATTTTCTTTTACTTTAAAGATGCATTATGTAAGAGCAAAATCTGGCTATTTAAGATCTTCTTTTTGCCTACAAATATTTTATGAATTATTATCTAAACATTTATTTATTTGACAAGACCATAATATGATGGCTCAGATATTAAGATATCTTAGTTAAACGTTAATCTGGAAAATAGAGACTTTGGTTTATTATCCTAGCAATGGTTCTTGACAATCGAGAGTTTCAGAACTATTTCTTGTAAAAGGTCCAAGCAATCATATCATCGCCCAGAATAAAGTAATCAGACCGAAAATCTTACATAATGCACCTTTAAGTATACAGATATAAATGTAAATGACACCACCATTTAAAACAATCGGATTATCTCGACGTATTCTTGTATTTACCCGAATATTATGGCGGTATTTAAGGGCCAAAACTAAATGTATGTTGAAAGTGTTATTCTACATCATAGAAAATACCTAATACCTAAGTTGCAAAATACAAATGTCGTTATAAAAATACATAATGCCGTTAATGTAAAAGTCAAATTTTAATGTCAAATTACAAAATGTTTTTTGAAAAAAATCCACTAACGTTAAAAACAACACAACTTATTCACATATACACTTCAACAAAGTAACTTTGTCAATTGACATTTGTCTTTCGTCTTCTAACACATCATGAGTTCTTGGGGTCAATGGTCAATGATCACTGGATTACATGTAAAATTGGTAAAATGAATGCTCCAAAGAAGGAAAGATAACTTTCGATGACATTGAGAAAGTAAAGCAGACAGCAATGGTTGAGGAAATTTTATCAAATTTTCAGAGTAGAAATAAAAATTTATGTCATGAATTCAAACATCTGCGTTCAATTCACGACATTAAAGTTCAGCTAGATGTTCTTTCTAGAATATTGTCAGGTAAATTTGAGACTTTTGATTGTAATGGCATTGGATAATGTTGTTTTACCGAGCGGAATCTCTCACCCGTATACCAGCACCCAGATTCGAATTTCGAAATGAAACATATTCCTAGCGCCAATTAAAACCTATATATAATTATCACGAAAGTAATTTTTACCTTCATATTAGAAAATAACATTTAAGACATATTAAAGGCTCAATACCACTCTTGTTGTAAATGAATAATATGTCCCAATCTTTATTCTGGTCAACAAATTGTACTATTTTAGAATATTTCAATTAATTGATGATACAAATTTCATCTTAACACATCTTATTTAAAAATTTTGAAAAATTCAACATAATGGTTTGAAACGTCTAACGTAAACCTTTCAAATGAAACTTCGATTTAAAAATATTTTCGAACCCTCTGGATAAGTAAAATAGGATGTAATGGATAATTTACACAACAGGTAGGACACTTAAACATCTAGTACTTAGATAGAGATATTATTTATTTTCTGGAGCTTTCAAGCCAGCAAGAGTGTTATTGTCCCTTTAATGCAAAGTATATCACAGAGTAAAAATACACAGAGTGGCGACTCGCATTACGGCCCATAGTAACACAGCGACGCGCAATGCATCTTGGGAATTGTCTGTAATAACCACACACTGACAGTTCGCTCAACGACGTTACGATATCTTTATCGATGAACTAAATCTCTTTAATTTCGTAGTTTTATAGTATTTTCGGTAACAAAACTACCGAGAATTATCACATACAATCATACATTAGTTGTGTGTGTTTTTCTGGAATTTATAAAACATGTTTCATATTTTTAAAACATGCATAGATAAAGCGTGGTACAGCCCGGAATGAAGTGAGAGACGGCATTTGTGACGGTTTATGAATTGGTCTATAAGGCCGTAAATTATAGTCGATTTTAAAAAGTTTTTATTAACTTTAAAACTAATCCACCAAATACTTGTTGTTTCGATTCCCAGATTTGAAATGTAATTTCCATACACCTTAAAATGGACCATTTGAAAATGTCAAAGTGACACGCCCTTTTTTGGATAAGGCCTATTTTACTCAACATCAACATGATTTACCTTTGTCTTCTAGAGCTTATTACTGTGTGATTTTCTTATTTATGTTATGTTAATAAAGTAAGCTTTCATTAAAATATAAAAAAAATAATTTAAGAATATTAAAATCGAATTTCAAATAGGCATATAACGTTTTTCAATAAACAGATTTGAGCCGTTGGTTGTTTTCCAAAATACCTTTGGCCCCAACGTTGACTCACTGTGTGTTTTATGCTTTTTGTTCTATTAATTAATGTAGGCTTTCATTTAAAAAAATAATAATAATAATTAACGATATTAAAATTCTATTTGAAATAACCCTATAAAATTTCTCAATAAACATTATTTGAGTTGATTGGTTTCTCTTTTTACAAACAAGTATAAACCAAAAACAACCTTAGAATGAATACTTTGCATATTGCTCTGGGTGTCATGTAATGTTTTGACGGACTTTATAGGCCCCCTAATACTATGAAATTATCCATTTTACACTACTACACAAGAATATTTTAAATTATTATAACTGATTATTTAGAAATAGAAAATTTAGTTTACACTGTGTACTTATGGAATTATCTGCCATGAAAACTGAAGTTAACCATACAGCATACTATTACTATATAATGACAGAGTAAAGTAAAATTATTTTGAATTACTGAATGGTTTAAAATTAGTGACAGTGCTTCAGTAAATATTTTATTGGTCGGAATAAGGCCTACCAGTAAAAGGGGAAATGTGATTTTGAATAGCATAACAGTATTAGGATTACTGTATTAAAAGCTTATTGCAAGTGAAAATTGAGCAAAATATATAATATTTTTGTTATGAAATTTAGAAAGGTATATTCATGTAACATACCATATACTCAACACTTCAATTGTTTACCACAAGTAATTGTAGACCTACATAGAATCACATCTTTCGATACACAAAATATAGAATGTAAAAAGAACATGTATAACTACAGACTTAATGGGTAAAGCTTACGATTTAAAATTTGATCCTTTAAAAATCACAACTACATGTAATTCTAAAATTACGAAAATACAAGATAGCATGCGATAAAGAATGCAAGGAATGAGTTGGTTTACATCGAAGCGCAACTACTTCTTGTCCCGCGAAAGCGCAACTACTAAAAAAAAAGATCTACAATTTAAATTACCGGATATTAATACGTTTATTAGACCTAAGACTATGTCGTGTCATGGATTCAAGTGGCGTGGTTTCGATTCCCCGCTTGTACGCGACAGGTGTAGGGTCGCCTGTCCAACCTCGTGGGTTTTCTCCGGGTCCTCCAGTCTCCTCTCACTCAGTCACTGCTAAAAAAAAAAGACCCATCAATTGAATTATCGAAATAAAACTGAGCCATGTTAGTCCCGAAATTACCTTGATTTGATTTAGCTTAGACAAGTTAGAGCGAGAGGTCATATTTTCATAAGTTAGATAGCCTAAAGACGTATACCTATAGATCTACTTCTAGGCCTACAGTACTCAGTACTCTACATTGGAATAATATGCAATATAATGCAATTAATCAATCAAATATGAAAACACCTTTCACCAAATATGTACTCTTACAAAATAAATTTTTTGATGATATGTACTGCTGTTATTATTATCTATAGTATTATAGTATTTTCATCTGTTCAACTGCGATGATTAGTGACATTACAGACAAAACCCAAGATGCAGTGCGCGACCTACTTTGTATGCAAATGAAGCAGTCGCCACTCTGTGTATTTTTACTCTGTGGTATATATAATACAAAAGAAACCCCCCAAAACTATTACAGTAAATATACTAATATATCGCACACTGGGCTAACTGAGCACGCAGAAAAGGGTACGTCCATTTTGCACCAAGAAGCACCGAAACCAGCTTTGGTGGCAAACTGTTTTATATTTCACAGAATCAAGGAATGAATAAACAACTGGAATACAAAGTTCCAAAGGTCTCCCTGTGTTGGCTTTTCAAGGTATATTACCGTAAACATACTAAAAAATATGGGGGGAATCGGTTTAAAGTAGGCTCACTGTCCACACAATAACTTCCAAACTAGCTTTGGTGACTACAAGATCTTTATTTCATCAAATGGACAGATGCATAATGTATGAACATGCAACATCTCATTAACTTTCTTTCTTGGCGTATCGAGTTATATCATCGCAAAGGTCATAGCACCCGGATTCGAGGCGAGGTTCGTGGGTTTAATAAACAAAGGGTACGCCCACTCTGCATCAGAGATGGACGTACCCCTTTCTGCGTGCTCAGTTAGCAGTAATAGTTTTTTGAGGTTTTCGTCTATTATATTATACTTTGCATTAAAATGTCTTAAAATATTATTTTTTTAAAGATACATTATGGGAGATTAGATAAAGAGCTGACAGTTCTGACTATAATTGTTAAAACGTAGATAACGGGAATTTGCTGAAAATTTAAGTCAAACTGATCCACTCTGAACCGAAAATTTAGCGATTGAATTTTCGGTCTAGCCTCGATCATCATTACTAAAGTCGGTACGATAAAAAAACATAGCCTCGATTATCCATTTAATGATTTAATCATAAATGAAAGTTTAGCAGCAAACCAGATACTAATCCAGTAAATATCGCAGGCTAGTGATGACATCGAGAGTTGATTATGGTCTGGATAAGTTAATTAATGTCTAATTAATAATTTAGATAACATTTCAGGCCTAAAGAAAGACCTGCAATCAGTGTTGACGTTTCTAGTGGTTTACCCACAGTTCCGTGCATCAAACGCCAAGAACTGGCCGTAACAGACCATTTCATTGGCTAATCCCTCACTTCAACCAAAGCGCTGGTAATATAACAGATCCTAGTGTAGTAAATGAAATGAAATGAAATAAAATGAAATGGGGTTTAACGTCCTACTGTTCTGATCCTAACCTGTGCTAATGAAGACGTGCATACGCCATACCGTGTGCTATGAGGGAAATTTTGCCCGGGCAGCGGCGCTACGGCCTACTCTTATATCGAATTCCAACTGCCAAGGGATCTTAAACGTGCACGCCAATGTGTACACGGGACCTCGGTTTTTCGTCCCATCCGAACGACTAATCAGCTGTCCTTGTCAGGCCCTCCGCCCTGCATCACTGACAAGGGGAAACCACGCCGGAAAATCGGGATGAACTTTCTCGGCCAATGCAGGGATCGAACACCCGACCTCCAGGCTAGCGAGCCAGCGTCTTACCCACTTAGCCACGTGATCCCCCTAGTGTAGTAAAGACAAGTAAAACGAAATTTTGCACTATAAAAACGAAACAAAATAGGATCTTTGTTTTAATCAGATTGAACTTGATCCAGCCCTGGATCCGACAGCCAGCCGTAAGCGTACACGTGTTTAGCTACTTTAAGTGGCGTTGATTGCCGTTGATCCCTTGAGAAATAATCCAAATATTCAGAAGTCAAAATATTTAAAAAACGTGTGACGAAATTTTAAACATAGTTTAATCGTGTTTTATTTACCCCATTGACGCGGCGACCTACAAGATAAGATTGCCTAGTCACTGCAACCTTGGACTTTAACCACACATTCTAAAAAATAAGTCCCGATTACCGCCATAGTATGCGTCATTTGGAATTATTTATATCACGCTCAGCGTGTCTTTAATTGTTGGTGGGGTGCAGCCAAGGAGTGCGTGTATTTGAGGGAGGTGCGGGTGTGTGTGTGTGTGTGTGTGTGTGTGTGTTGAGGGGGGGGGGAGGTTCGGGGGTATCGATTCAATTTTAAGGAATTCTAACATTATGATTGTTCAAATAACACAAGACGCCCCCTGAACACCCAACCTCCTTTCTCGTTGCACACCACCCGGGGTTACCCCAGTCTACTCTAGCTATCCAAGACCCGGCCCAATAGTTGGAAATATTGATTTGTCTGTTAATTTAGACAAGCGTGAAAGGGTATGAGTTGGATTCGCCCATTACTTATGCCAGTGATAAATGATAAGAAATTGATTCGCCTATGAGTTTAGACAACGATTTGCATTTGCAGGGTTAGTAAAACTGTAAGGAATAACGGTTAAATAAATGCTAATGTTGTCATTATAAAGTAATTCTTTAAATGTGTTGTAGGACAGATCTTTTCTGAATTAATAGTGTAAATATTTGCCGAGTTATTAAAGGCTCATATCAGTGAATATCAATCAATCAACTAGCCAAGCGAAAATATTAACCCTATAATTGAATAGAACATGTACCACTCACCCTCAACAGTTAAACATGCAAGCCTGTGATCGTAACCATGCCACTTGATTCGATGGTATGCCAACCCTTATGATCTGAAGCCAACGCGTTAGACCACTCACTCGTAACCCCCTTTCTAAAAAAATAAAAGCATTCGTCATAAATTCTTGAATAAAACAGGGCCGTAACTAGCTCAGAGCAACACGGGGGACGGGAAGTGTTCTCAGGGGTGCTGTAATATTGACGGACAATGTATATCTACTTTTTTATGGTCGAAAATCTTTTCACAGTGGGGGGGGGGGGAATCTTTTTGCAGGGAGCCCCCCCCCCTTGTTACGGGCCTGAATACTAACATGGGTGTTTAGTTGTGAAAGGTTTTAAATACTGTGTTTGAATATGAATAACCAACAGGCCAATGAGTAAAATGTGATGGTCTAAATACATGTATATCTGTTGTATCGCGCTCAGCTTTGCTTTCAGTCTACTTCTTAGTCTATCGTTAACCATATGACAAACCTGTTTCATATAACAATGGTAGATAGTGATTGATTGACGAGCGCGCAACATAAGGGGGCGGGGGTGGCACCCTCTCCGAGCTTAGTCCAGATAGGCAAGTGGGCCGATTTTTTGCCGGGTAGGCCGTTTTGTTTTTCAGGAAAATGGGCCGGTTTGCCGGAGTCTTTTACTCATTCAATCAAACCTAAACGACGAGGTCTACAAATCAATATTCAACTCGGTCATTTAAAAATTACATAATGCTATACTTACTAAATACTTTTCGACCTAACTGGGGGTAATATTTGATTTTCTAATGCTGAGTTGGCCGATTTTTTGATGCCCCCCCCCCCCCCCGGGAAAATATGTCTGTGCGCCCCTGGCGAATACATGTATATTTGGACACGAGGTGAAAGAGCATGTCTCTTGTTCACCGAGCGACTCGAGGCCAAAATATATATGGACTTTCGAAAGCACCCCCCCCCCCCCCCGCGGACGGGTTATTTTCCCGAATAACTGACAGATTTGTAGTAAATATGTCGTTATATTTTTTTGCTTAGTTACTTTCAGTTTTCAAATGGACCACTGGAATTTTTGGGACCATATCTTTGATATTGTAATATTTAATATTTTGTGCTAAGATGCGTAAGAAGTAAGTTATTGGAAAATCACTGTATTTCATTTTGTCCTGCTTTTGTGTGCATTATAACGTGTATTTACCCTTTTTTAACGTGCCTAGATACATTGATTCACAATAAAGTTTTACTGCAAACATTACCATGAATAGCCTGTATACAATATTCATCAATATCTTAATATATTTTATTCATGTCAATGTGAAGTGTGCAAGCGTTCCCATCAACCGACGGAGACAGAGAGTTTAACGTCCAACTCGACACAAAACTCCCAACCCTACTCCTTTCAAACAGATATGTTTTATGATACAGCATGCACGTGTTAAGCATTCGGCCATACCCACCACCCTCCCCGTTTCGTTGGTTAAACATACGACCTAATTATGCACGAAGGAATAGATCTTATTGGTAGAAGTTATATTTATATCCTTAAAATATTTAATGTCTTTTCAGGCAACGAAAGAAGAATGCCAAAAGGCCATCCGTGCTGCTTTAGATGCCGGTTATCGCCATATTGATACTGCTATGGCATATGGAAACGAGGCTGATATTGGAGAAGTGTTACAGGAATATATGAAGGCGGGAAAACTTAAAAGATCAGATTTCTACATCACAACTAAGGTAAATGATATTATTGGCGTATTGTATGTCAGTATATATGTGATATACATGTATATGTTGTATATTTTGTGTGTATGGTCTGAAAATGTATATTTGTGTCCTGGACACTTATTTGCTGATTCCTTAGCTCGGATCAAATAAATACATTTCGATTAATGTACATTTTGGGGAGAGTAAAAATAACACTTCTTTCTCCTTAATTTGAAATGTGGGGTGAGTAAAAATGTTAAAATGACGTCTATTTTCTCCAATTGCCTTCTACAACAAAGGCATCTTTTTAATCTGATTGCATTATAGTCAGGGAAATTGTTCAGCGTTGATATTTTGCTTTTATTTTATTAGTTAAAGTTAAATACTCAAGTTGAGTACAGTTAAACATTTCCGAAAAATGTAAATGAAAACCAATGGCTTCAACGTCCATTAAACGTAATACATGAATCCCCAAAATGTAAAACTAGTCTATTGAATACAGTATAATTAATATTGAATATTGTTAGAGATACATTATGGGAGATTAGATAAAGAGCTGGCAGTTCTCACTATAATAGTTAAAAACTAGATAATGTAAAGGCAAATTGATCCACTCTGAACCGAGATTTTAGCGATTGAATTTTTGGGTCTAGCCTCGATCATCATTACTAAAATCTAAAAAAATATCGCAGGCTAGCGTTGACATCGAGAGTTGATTATGGTCTGGATAAGTTAATTAATGTCTAAATAATAATTTAGATAACATTTCAGGCCTAAAGAAATACCTGCAATTGTCAGATTTGGCTCTTGCATAATGTATGTTTAATTATATTTTAGCTGTGGATTACATACCATCAACCAGAAAGAGTCATGCAATGCCTGGATAAATCACTGGCTAATCTTAAGCTAGACTATGTTGATCTTTATCTTATTCATACGCCATGTGCTTTTGAGGTGAGTTCTGGTAGCGAATATCCCCAAGATTAGCTTTTAGTTATACATGTATGTTGTGATGGGCGTGTGGTGACTATTTTTAGAAAACCTAATACCATTTCTCACTTATTTGGGAAGGTTCCAAATAATAATTTGATTACAAAGCTGCCACAAAATCATTTATTTTTGGTGAAATGTATAGATTGTACTTGTTCAACTTTATATATTTTGTTATTATCTGAAAATTTCCTAATAATGATATATTTTAATTTCATAACCCAGGAAACTGGAAATGGATTTTTCCCTGTACGTGATGACGGAACACCAGCTTATCTGAATATTCCTGTTGAGGACACCTGGAAGGTAAATATGTATACTTCGTGAATCTCATTTGGCTAAAATCCGTTTTATTGGCTTCATTTATTACGTTTCAAATGATAATGTGTAAGAAATTGAGATGTTTATAGTCCAGAGGCAGAAAGTGTGTGTGGGTGTGTGTGTGTGTGTGTGGGGGGGGGGGGTCGCCACCCGAGCTGTAAATTTATGAGACCAAGGTTTTCTAGATTCCGAATATGTGTGGTGATCAGGCGTTTGAGGGGGGAAGGGGCGTCTTCCAGATATATATATATATATATATATATGTTTGGGGGGGGGGGGGCAATGTCTACAATTTGGGAAAAATGTGATTATGATGATCATGTTATATATTAATATAATATTAATTTCTAGGACTGTCCATCTTTATATGAGTGTTCATGATGTGACTGGAGAACAGTTTTGATTTGTGGCGCGGCTATGGTAGGGGGGGGGGGGGTGCAGGTGTGCGTGTGTAAAAATGGGGGGGGGGGGCCGTTAAAATTGGCGGAAAATGAGTTCACATTGATTTAAATGATGATTTTCTTAGAACTTGATGAAACATCTCTATATGTGTGTATACGATGGCAACATGTAGTTTTGAGAAAAGAAATTATTTGGTTTAAAATTGACCTTAAAAGTGGCTTCTCGTTAGCTTTTTCGTTTAGTACCAATTTCGTCATTCACATGTCTCTTGTTTACTATGTTTTTTTTTTTTATTTACGTTATTTAATATTTTGAATGACGAAATTGGTACTGTACGAAAAAACTAACGATAAGCCACTTTTCATGTCAATTTTGCACCCCCTCCCACCCCACACAATGGGAATCTTATACACATATTTAGAGATGTGCAGCGGAATTAAAAAGTAATGTTTTTACCAAGCTCTAAAAAAATCATCATTTATATCAACGTGAACCCATTTTCTCCAAATTTTATAACCCCGAACTCTTCCATATACGCACGCATGCACCCCCACCTCTCTACAAATCAAAATAGTTGTCCAGGGGCATCTTATATACACTTATTTAGAGATGGACGGTCCTAGAAATGTATGTTTTATTAATATCTAAGATAAGTTCCCAGGCAACGAAACATACGCCCACAGCAGCTATATCGTCCGGGCAGTCAACAAGAGTTGTCGCATATTTTTACTTTTTTCGGTAATGAAACATTTATAATACATTAAAATCTGATTAAGGGTAACAACTCATTAAGTAATTATCAGAACACCATTAGAATTTGTTTTTTTATAATGTTCTGCCCCATGGTAACGTTTAGTATACGAAACATTTAATATCATGGATTTAGCTGTTCGAGTCATAAAGATTCATTGAAAATTCATGACCTTAAACACTGTGTATAAATTTAAAGTCAATCGGATATTAACTTTAGCCTCTAGAGCGCCCACAAGATTTTTCAAAGTGATCAAGGGTCATAACTCTTGCAGTAATTATCGGAAATCGCTGAAAATCAATAGGTTTCTTCGTCTCATGACCTTAAACACTTAAAGTCGATCGGATATTAACTTTAGCCTATAGAGCGTCTATAGGACGTACGGACCGGACGGACCGACGGACGGACAGACGGGCGGGGGCGACAACAATACACGACCACATTTCAATGTGGGCCTATAAAAATGATCATCATTAATGTCAACATAATCACAATTCCCCCAAATGTTGGCATTGGACCCCCCCCCCCCCCGAAAAAAAAATCTCGAAAACGCCCCCCTCATACACTTGATCACAACACATATTCGGAAATATTCTAAATATGCCAAATGTTTTTATTGTATATTTGTGACCACATCTCCAACTTTACCTGAGCAATAAGGCTCCTTCCCAAACATAGAATTGAACCCAGGAAATGTTCTCAAAAACACAACCTGACGGAGGACCGGACGGACGGACCGACGGACGGACGGTCGGGGGCGACAACAATATACGGCCACATTTAAATGTGGGCGTATAAAAATGATCATCATTAATGCCAACATAATCACAATTCCCCCAAATATTGGTATTGGACCTCACCCCTCCCCCCACAGGAAAAAAAAATCTCGAAAACGCCCCCTCAAACACTTGATCACAACACATATTCGGAAATATTCTAAATCTACGAAAAAAAAAACCCGACTATTAAAATCACCACATCTCGTTGATTTGGGTCCAAATAAAACTGTAGATTTCAATGAATTCAATATCTTGATTAGTTTGGGTGAATGACAATATGTCATCGTTGAAAAATTTTACTTCTATAATAAATAAAATTTGAGATATAACCGAGTTTGTCTTCCACTGTCGGAAAAAATAGGTCCAAAATTAACCTAAAATTATTACTTCCGAGCTGAGTTAGCTTTCGAAACAAAACGTGAATCATCTAGAGCTTCTTTAGTAATCAGCATAACACCAGATCAATACTTAATATTGACAAATATATTAATACCTGTTGATTGATGAGATATATCCACCTTAATATTGACCTAAGTCAGATTTAATATTTGTTGTTCAGATATATACATCTTGAATGAGCGATTGGCGTTATCGTAAATCCTCAACAAAATTAATTACTAATCAGAAAAGGCTACCTCTAGAATGTTTTCTTCCGGGAATTTTCAATTATTTCTTTCAGTCATTTTTCTTGATGAACGCTAAAAATAAAAAAAACACTATGGTTTTGTATTTTAGGCAATTGAGAAAGCTGTCACGAGTGGTAAAGCTAAAAATATCGGAGTGTCTAATTTTAACAGCAAACAGGTAGCGAGAGTGTGTAAAATCGCAACTATTAAACCCGTTACAAATCAGGTGAGTAGTATGATATAACAACCCCTATTCGCCGTTTAGCTAGAGTTATCTTACTTGACTCACAATTTTGATCTTGCCCCTGTTAGTCCATCCTCGGTATCCTCAGTGGTTTCATTCCGTTCTACTCCACTAACCCCTGGGTTAATCTAGGGGGGGGGACGTTATGAAGTTATCCGCCCTTGATGATTGTGCTATTTTTATCGACCAATGCCATATATCGTTAATTGAAAAGGAAGTTGGCTAAGGGAAGTAACTCTCATCGGACAAGGTTAGAAGTTAGCCTAAATGAGTCCAAATTATTCTAAAGCCGTATTTATTAACAACATAATATGTGTAGTTTAATGGCCGAGTGCGAGACATTAAGTAATATACTAAGCAGCAAAAGAAACGACAGGTTGGTATGTTACTCTGAATACATAAAACTTGCCAAATGTTTTTATTGTATATTTGTGACCACATCTCCAAATTTACCTGAGCAATAAGGCTCCTTCCCAAACATAGAATTGAACCCAGGAAATGTTCTCAAAAACACAACCTGACTTCTGGGATGGTAATGTGTTCTCCGTGATTTTCATGTGACTCATGCTGATCGTGCTGTTCACCGGGACCACGGATGATCGCCCCCGAACTGGTAGACCAAGGGTTACCACAAGGCGACAAGACCGCCATGTTGTGCCGCCGCAGCACGTGCAGAATCCCTTCACAGAGGCATCTGAGACAGCACGTCAGACAGTGAGAACAAACGGAATACCCATCACTACCGATACAGAGGGCCGACGACTCACCAGAGAGAAAATCCATTGCCGTAGACCATACCGTTGACCGATCCTCACACCTCGCCATTGACGTGAACGTCTACAGTTTGCCCAACAACACCAGAACTTGCGACACAGGTAATGGAGAACTGTTCTGTTCACAGATGAGAGTCGTTATTGCGTATCAACTGCAGATGGCAGGACCAGAATATGGCGTCGACCGTGGCCAGTGTTATTCTGACCAATGTGTCATGGAACGAGCCTCATGGTGAGGTCCAAGCGTAATGGTTTGGACTGGAATCGGCCTGAACCAGAGCGTGGGTCCTGTGATGTTCCAAAATCTTGGTCCGAGGAGAGGAGGCGGCATCACAGCAGTGCGCTACATCGATCAAGCTCTCAGACCCCACGTCATACCACATTTAGCACGTCATCGAAACAACGTTTTCCAGCATGACAACGCCCGTGCCCACACCGCCAGAGTTACTCGGGACTTTTTACAGCAGAACGGTAACAACGTTATGCACTGGCCAGCCCTTAGTCCGGACTTAAACTCGATTGAACATCTTTGGGATAATTTGAAATCGTGGAAACCCTATGGATTAACCCGGGGTATAGTGGAGTAGAATGGAATGAGAACACTGGGGATACCGAGGAAGCTGTTAGTCGTACTTACATGCATATGCACATGACCTCGATTGACGTTTAAAAAAATATGGGCGTTTTTTCTTCATTATAAAAACAACTGATTGTTTTTGAATAGAATGAGATAGGGTTGTTGGACTATCGCGGCCACATTGTTTTTTTTTTTAAAAAAATAAAAATCCCTTAACGGAATGAAACTTACAGCGTATAATTACCTAAATGCCCCCCCCCCCCCCCCGCCACACTCATCTATGTGCAGACATCGTGGACAAATTTTGAAATGTATGATGATTTCCGATAGATTTGTAATAAGTTGAGTTCACAGTTATAGTGGCCATACATCAATCAAAATTCATATTTATATTTTATAAAGCTGAATCAATCAAAATTCATCATGTAATCATTTATATTTACTAAGGCCGAATCAATCACAAATTCATGTATTTATATTTTCTAAGGCAGAATCAATACAAATTGATGTATTTGTATTTTTGAAAATTTAATCAATCAAAATTCATGTTACTGTCTTTTCTTAGGTTGAATGTCACGCCTACTTCAACCAAGCTAGACTCAAGAAAGCCTGTGAAGACTATGGTATACTTATAACTTCTTACGGTTCTCTCGGTTCACCAGGCAGACCCGATCGTTTGTAAGTAATTAGTTTAAAATCTCCCAACAAAGTAGCATGAAAGACAAATGCGAAATCAGATTATATGTAATCAAATGTACGTTTCTTAAAAAAAAAAAAAAAAAAAAAAAAAATACCCAGATCTGTCAAAGCCCTCAATGACAATTATAGAGCCAGGCCATACTCCTCAAAACTGTCCAGTTTTGTACCTTTAGCCGCAAGCTCAAAGGGATGTGTCGTGCATGAGGAAGAACACGCTTACTCTATTTTATACGCCTCATGGGATATCCGATTTAATTAATGAGTAAAACACCTACCGATTTGTTTTCAGAAAGGAGGCCACAGAACCCGTCTTATTAGAAGATCCATTAATTAAACAATTGGCTATAAAATACAAGAAGACACCAGGACAGGTAAACTATTTATTTTAAAGACTGTTGGTTTTCTATACTCTTCAAAAAAAAGTAGGGGATATTCAGAAACAGTACAAAACTGCGGAATGCACTGCTGTTTTTATTCGAGGTAACCAGTGTATGTTAATAACAGGCCAATTGCCTATACATGAACATAGACAATTGATATGGGCGGCTTATCTGACGGCCCCATTTCACTCGCAAAGAGATACACCGTCAAAAGTGAAAATGAACGTTTTTGATTTTTTGTCTTAATAATGAGTAATGGCTTCACCAATCCTCAGACATTCAGCAATTCGTCGTGGCATGCTCCTAATCAACCGTCCAATCACGATTTGGGGCAATCTGACCCACTCCTCTTGCAGTGCCACGGCCAATTCTTGCAGTGTTGTCGATTGAGGTTGACGTCTCCCTTTCAAGTTAAACGTAACACACTAAAGCAAAGATACGCTAAACAGTAAATCTTATGCAAGAACCGATAGGAAAGCAAACATGGATAGATAAACCAGCACGCGGCCGTTTTCATCAACCTTTCCTTGAAGTGTCAAATTTGACAATGAACCCCTCCCGTGTATGGCGCTATTGCGTGTTGCATGTGCAGCTCAGTGTTTCTGTTGGGGCGATAAGTTCTTCATCTGTGAACATACTCTCAAAGCATGTCAAATGTCCATGACTATATATCATATCGCAACCTGCATAGGCTTTTGCATTTCAATATCCCCTACTTTTTTTGAAGAGTATATATCAAACACAAAATAAAAGTAGAAGGAAAATTAAGAGTAAACTCGTCTGATTCCTAAATGAAATCCAGCTGGTCTGATCACCACGAATCATTAAAGTAGTTGATCTAATTAAAAGAAGATGCCAATTACGCTTGCTGCAGTTTTTTGTTGTAGTGCATTGTCATATTTTCTTTGCCGAGGTGTTCAGGTCGCGTGAACTTATTGACCAATAATATTGTCTCTATTGGTCAACTGGGACTGTGTTTAGTTAAACATACATTATGCAAAAGCTAAATCTGATTATTGCAAGTCTTAATTTAGGCTTCAGATGTTATAGAAATTATAAATTAGATCTTTATTTAAACAACAAGCCCAAAATCAACCCTGTAGACCCACGGATGGCTCGGCTACAGCTCGGATTTAAATAGGATTTCACTAATTGATTAAATCAAATATGGGGCAACCTGATGAAAATATGTCAGTTAGATCGAGGCTAAATGATAGAGTGTACTTAGCGAGGCCGCTGTAGAGCGTTTCCGTATGCCATTGAAAACTTTACTTGATAATCGAGATATGTAGGTGGAGGTAACGCCTGTCAATCGAACGATCGGCCAAGGCGAAGACGCATTTCGCTACCATTTCTAGTCAAATATTACAACGATGATAACTATGTTCAGAATAAAGTAATTTGACTGAAATTTACAATATATGCTTCTTTCATCGTCTACTTTTGAACTGTTATAGCAAGAATGGCCAACTCTCTATAAAAATCTCCCATAATGTATCTTTAAGGGAATGTTAAAACCCAAGTGAAATGAGTTTTAGACAATAGTTTGCGGTCCATCACCGACAAGAAACCGACAAGAATGTCAATAGAGCTAATATGGTGACCGACCAGTCGGTCTTCTGCAAAGACAGCATGCAATGATTTATCTGTTGACGAAGTGAGGAGGGCGAACCGATGTTGGCTCAGTCTTATAAAATTGGACGAAACCCTCGATCCCTTTAAGCTACCGTTATTTCTAACAGCATTTTAAAGAAGTTTGTGCTCAGTTGACCCGTGGTTTAGGTAATAAAATGTGCACTTTATTTGGTCAGAATGGTTTTGTTCGCCAATGATATTGTCGCACATCAGATCCCAAAGAGAACAGATAACCGATACAAATGTAGTTAGATCTAGGTAGAGCAACAATATATTCTAGTCAGAATAAACTCAAAATCTAATTTTTTAATAAATTTCCATTTGTCAAGGGTGAATATCGATCTTTAAGATTACATATTTATTTTCAGGTTTTGTTACGCAGTTTAACACAAAGGAATATTCTGGTTATACCAAAGAGTACCAACCCTGATAGAATACAACAAAACTTTCAGGTAGTCTAATTATTATTTACAACACGGGGGATCACGTGGCTAAGTGGGTAAGACGCTGGCTCGCTAGCCTGGAGGTCGGGTGTTCGATCCCTGCATTGGCCGAGAAAGTTCATCCAGATTTTCCGGCGTGGTTCTCCATTTTCAGTGATGCAGGACGGAGGGGCTGACAAGGAAAGCTGTCTAGTCGTTCGGATGGGACGAAAAACCGAGGTCCCGTGTACATTTTGGCGTGCACGTAAAAGATCCATTGGCAGTTGGAATTCGATATAAGAGTAAGCCGTAGTGCCGCTGTCCGGGCAAAATTTCCCTCATAGCACACTGTATGGCGTATACCCGTCTTCATTAGCCCAGTTCGGAGTAAAACAGTAGGACGTTAAACCCCATTTCATTTCATTTCTATTTACAACACCATAGGATACTGCACAGTGCACAATAGAACACGGACAGATCAAACCAAGCCGTGTTCTTTGTATTTGTGCTATGTTTGTGTTTGATTTATGTATGCCGTGTTGTTTTTTGTTTGTGCCATGGGTATGTTATATAGAAGACCAAATGGGATAATGTTAATGATTTTTGTTTCTACATTCTAGTTTGAAAATTTGATATACGATAGCAATATTTGAAACTAGTGATCATTGTTTCCACATTCTAATATCACCATTTCATGCACAAAATCAATATTTTAAACAAGAAGTTGATCTTAATAGATGTTTACCATACTATTATTTTGTAGATTTTTGACTTCAAACTGACCGAAGCTGAGTTGAAACAAATAGACGGAATAAACAAAGAACATAGGTACTTTAACATGAAAGAGTAAGTTAACTTTATATTAAACTACTCTCAAAAAGTCCCGTCTAATGATCTAATATATTTCAATGATTTAATTGAAACCACAATTGGCCTGATCAAGACGGCAGAACGCCCGCTGGCTTCTCCAAAGTGTCCGATTATCCAAACAGATATTTACAATATCTATATCCACTAAGTGACCATGATGAGCTCACTTATTATGGTTTGAGGATGTTTTTTTTTCTAGCTGTGGCAGTCGAGGAAGACTGAATAAAACATTTTTGATTTGTTTCAGGGGCGTGGGTCATCCAGAGTATCCAGGACAAGAACCATTTTAAAATAGAAATTAGATTATTTTATATTTGTTTTGTTTTCACGTTTTTACCAAGATGCTTTTATAGCCTTTACTTTAATAGTTTTGTACGTTTTTAGTGTTTTATGTTTATAGTTTTGTAAGTTTAGAGTGTTTTATGTTTATGGTTTTTACCTTAAAGGTTTATTGCTTTATGTTTTAATTAAATCTAATCCCCCATTCCGAGTTGTATATGCTCTTGGTCTGCTCTACATAAATACTTCTTTATTTTTAAGTCCTAGTTGAGCTTCTTTGGTTTGCTTAAACCATTACTGCCGTACGAAAAGTTGAACACGCACTTCATAAAGATGTTGTCACAAAAACCGAAAGGAAAGACAATGTGGTTTAATGCAACTGCATACACATTGCATTGAAATAATATTAGGAGGAATACATTAGATTAAGGTTTAAGGAATTTCGCACTATTTATTTCATTTCGTTTTATTACTGGCATTTTTATTTTATTTCTAGATTGTATGTTTAAGATTTATATTTATACCGGTGTAAACAAATCTAAAATTTATTTATTATGTTTGACAAAATACACAATTTTACCATGTTTGTTGTGTTTGTATGTTTTGTCTGTATTTTTCCCTTTGAGTTAATGTCCATGTCTTTTTTTAAATATCCACCGTAAAGAAAGAGATTTAATAGTGCCATGAAAGAAGATGTTGCAATGTACCGTTTTGTTGCCAGATTTTATAAAAAGTTATCAATGTTTTCTCAATAAAAAGTAACATGTTTAATACGTGTTTTAAAAAAATATCTTTTTACTATAAAGAAGTATTCAACAGATTGTCCATTTTCATTAGAAAATTCATATGAAATCAGTATCAAATTGTAGTTGTTGTATTCAGCATCCCACTCTCTCCGTGTCTGTCTCTTGTTTGTCTCCAACCACAATCCCTCACAAATCAGCAGTCCAGATCTACCTGGAAAATATTTTGGTAATGCTGTTTCGGCAAGACGAAGTGTAGAGTTCAGTGGCCGAGTCTCAATTTAGGCAAAAGAAAAATGAATAAATACGTAGCATGTTCGGTATACATACCCTATAACCCTCTCCCCTAAACACCAACGTTCTCACCACTAACATGATGACGAAACTGTTACATTAGGATTTCCGCTAACATGTTTTTGTTAGATCTAATTCCCATAAACTGACACATGTTAAGATGCGAGTATTTGACCGGTTTTGAGTATGGCCATTTTCATTTTTCTTGTCAAGATTGGTTTCGATATCACCTGTTTGGAAACAAATGTTAATCCCCACCCTAGCATTAGTATCCACAAACCAAATCACAGTGTCTATCAATTTGTCTTACACTAATCCGTACGTCAAGTTAAAACTTAAATTGTCACAATATCATATCTGAAAATTTCAAATACGAATATTGAGCTGTTAGGAAATTATTGCTACATTTTCTGAACGGAGTTACGTAACCCATATACCTCAATTAGCACTTCAGCAAGTAAATAGTCTGTCATTTCATCCTAGGTGGAAAGGGACGTAGTAGACATGGTTATTCAGGCTCTTACATAGCGTGGAAAATTAAAGTTTATATTTATTCGACATTGTATTAGATTGTTTTAGATTGTTGCACATGGCCAGTATTAACGTAGATAAGAAACTTTCAGACCGACTTGACCAGATATAATACACTGCAATTCGTTCATTTTCTTAGAACAAATATCAGAGTTTCAGGTTTTGATTCTCTTCTGACATAAAAATCGGTTCATACTCCCAAGCAAACATGATACACCCCCTCCCCTCCCATCAAACTGTAAACCAATTCTGGTTTTCACGACACCAAATCGAATGCGCTTCACAATCCTGGTCGTGGCACCAACCTGAAAGTGTATAACAATCCTGGACCAAGCACCTAGTACTTCTGGGACCGTCTATGGGTGAGGTATTGTTCCGTTTGGACCTCGTTTGTTGTGATTTTTCCCCAATACCAATTAATGTAAGCAACTACAGTTCAGGTTTGGTGATTGATAATCCAACTATTTACCGAGAATACCGAGTAGTTCTTTCAATTTAACCGAAACAAACATAAAGTACTACAGACTATTCTATTAAAAACACCCAAGACGATTTTATAAAATCAAACGGAAACAAAACAATACTCCCCCCCCCCGTCCCCTCAACCCCAAGAACCAAAACAAAACAAAAACAAGTCTAAAACTAAACTTAAACATACATTATGCAAGAGCTAAATCTGCCTATTGCAGGTCTTATTTTAGGCCTAAAATGTTATCGAAATTATATTAATTAGACATTAATTAACTTATTCAGATCATAATCAACTCTCTATGTCATCGCTAGCCTGCGATATTTACTGGATTAGGATCCGATTTGCGGCTCAACTTTCATTCGTAATTAAATCATGAAATGGATAATCGAGGCCATGTTTTTTTTTTATCGTACCGACTTTAGTAATGATGATCGAGGCTAGTCCGAAAACTCAATCGCTAAATTCTCGGTTCAGAGGAGATCGATGGAGATCGATTTTACTGAAATTTTCAGCAAATGACCTTTACATTATCTAGTTTAACTATTATAATGAAATGAAATGAAATGAAATGGGGTTTAACGTCCTACTGTTCTGCTCCTAACCTGGGCTAATGAAGACGGGCATACGCCATACAGTGTGCTATGAGGGAAATTTTGCCCGGGCAGCGGCACTACAGCCTACTCTTATATCGAATTCTAACTGCCAAGGGATCTTTTACGTGCACGCCAATGTGTACACGGGACCTCGGTTTTTCGTCCCATCCGAACGACTAGACAGCTTTCCTTGTCAGACCCTCCGTCCTGCATCACTGACAAGGGAGAACCACGCCGGAAAATCTGGATGAACTTTCTCGGCCAATGCAGGGATTGAACACCCGACCTCCAGGCTAGCGAGCTAGCGTCTTACCCACTTAGCCACGTGATCCCCAACTATTATAATGAGAACTGCCAGCTCTCTATCTAATCTCCCATCATGTATCTTTAAATATACAAAAAAGGGGACACATTTCTGTGATAAACTGTTTGAAATTGTTAATTCAACACCAGAGACGTGTTACCACTTTTTGTATTTGGAAGATTCATTAACTGATGGGTTTTTTTCGAATTCATACACATGAGTTTGTTACTTGAATATGTGGTAATGATCAACTGACCATTTGATAATTTTCCATTAAATACAATTATACAATAATGTTAATTACACAATCATATTATCACAAAAAAATACATTTAAACTGTTCTAACTTTTTTTTCAGGGCTTCCGGTCTGGGTCACCCCGAATGTCCACTAGACGAACCATTCTAACTCTGAAGATTTTATATGTTAATTATCAGAATTAATCTTTTGGGCGTATTTAATGTTTTTGTAAACAGTCGGACAACAGGGAATCAATTAGATTGAACTAAGCATTGACTGTATAGCTTGTATTAATAGATATATTTCAGTTTTGGATTTAAACCACGAAAATGAACAATTCCAAAACTTTTATCTTAATAGAATAAACTAGTGTAAAAACGAATATGATTTTTCCCGTTTTAATTGGTTTATTTTTGTTAAATTAGTGTGTATGCGCATGTGCTAGTTAAAGGACAATATATTGGTGCCAGTCATTATCACATATGTGATAGAACTGGTTAAACACGTTACAAATATTATTTTTTCACAGAGATCTTTGCTACGATAGATGAGTAATCAATGTTTCAACAATAGGAAGTGACGAACGCAAAAGGAAAACACGAGTTATCCCTCTATAAATTATAAAGGAATTATTATTAGTGAGCAGAAATTCGCCCATGTATCTGTTATCACCCGTCACTTCAGCCAGTTTTATAGAGGGATAACTCGTGTTTCCCTTTTGCGTTTTGCATAAGTGATAATGACTGGCACCAATATTGTCCTTTAATGCCTAGTCAAAGCAAAATATGAACGCCTGAGTAAGATAATTTACAAGAAGTGTTAAATAAGTGTGTAAATACTGTAAAAGTGATCTTAATCTTTTAGAGGCATTTAGTAACTGGATAGAGCAATACACAAAAACACATACTTATGGAAAAAACAGCTACTTATTTATTTGGGCGACGTTTCGAAGAGTATTCTCTCAACGTTATCAAGCTAATACAGTAATACAAGAATTATGAGATCAATATATACAGAAAAACTATAACAACAATTCATGAAACCATACAGGACAACAACAAGATCAAAGGGGTTTATTCTACAAAAAACTAATTAAGTGTTAAGTGAAGCCATTGAGTATAGTTTAAGCAATTAAGTAGCTATGATGATAGATACAATACTACCGACAGTATAGTACCTACAATACAATTATGATATACCATGGTTTGTTTAGATAATGGTAATTAACTTTATTTATCTGTGTAATTAAATGTACAATTAGACTAGAATAAACCATAAGTTGTAATAAATCTAAGAAATAGAGTGGATATAACTGATAAGTTGATAATAATATTAGAAAAATGAAAAAAATAAAACTAATAAAAAATGAAGAATTTAGGTGTATTTGATAAGTTCATCATAAGCACTAGGCATGCATATCCCTGAGTAACGGTTGAGGTCTGGACTGTTTCTTTTTATTTGTATGGCCTCAATAATTTTGCGGGTTTTTTCTATCGTAAGGTTGGCTGCCAGGGTTCATACCACCTCAGAAGACTCCTAACCCCAACAGGCATCCAGGTAACATTTTCTAAAGGAAGAACTCTCAAAGATCTCCTGAAGGCCAGTGGCAAACTTCCCCCAACCAAACAACCGAACCCAAAAGAATGTGTTTATGAAATCACCTGCACGTGTGACAAAAAAACATCGGAGAAACTCGACAGCCTTTACACAAGAGAATCAGTCAGCACAAATCCAAGTCCTCTACTACCAATTCAGCTGTGGCCCAACACACACAATCCAACCCAGGATACAGAATTAAAACGTATAGGGTCCACTCTACACAAACTAGGTAATTTTACGATTAAGATGGCGATTCCGTTTTCGATAATTTGCTTGGACAGACAAAACTACACCATGTCATATACAAGCTTGGGATCGACATCGCGCCACTTAGCTCAATGACAGACCTCATAATCTAAAGCGCATGTGTTAGACAAACAAGGTTTGACTTCGCAAGGGAAAAGTTCCATGAATGCCCAATGCAATTTGTACAGAATAAAACTATTTGATATAGAAATGAAAGGTATGATACAGGATTCTGAGTATCATACACTACACCTACACTGTTAATAACTGCGGGAGGTTTGCAGCAACATCTCCAGTACGTTCTCGTGGCTGGAAATGTTCCGTGGAAAATCGGAAAACCGAACCGCGATTGCTCGTGAGTGGTAGAGAAGCATATCGGCTATGTCCGCGATCACAACTGTTAAATCATCCGTAGCGTGAAAGGTTTTAAGAGGCGGGGGGTGTTGGTGTGTTGGTGATCCGGGTACCTTGTGTGTAGCAGAATAATTAACAAAAATCGGGGGATTAATTAAAATCAAGACTATAGATCGGACACAATTAGACACCACTTGTTTCTTAGGAGAGCCGTAATGCGAGGTTTCCATCAGTAAACTCGTTCTGTGAGTTTAGTGGGAGATAGACAGAGAGACATTTTATTTTTATTGCAGTCTATGCTTGTAACCATGTATCCTACTTTGACATAGAATGTAGAAAAGAAACTGTTGTATTGTATTTCTTGATTTGGCCGATGTAAAAAATACGTACACAACG